ATCTATGCGTGCTGATGCATACATACACATATACGCTTTCTTCATTCTTTCATTCCATTGCTATACGTATCTCACTGGTCAACAGATCTATGTAGCCATGTTACTGTTGTTGTTTTTTTTCTCTTTTTCGATTCAATTCATTGTAACTAAATTGAGTTCAACTATGGAATACAAGATGGCACAGATGAGGGGAATTCGCATTTTGTCTCTTCATAGGCTTAGCCGGTTGGGGAGGACACATCATCCACACATTCCAAATTTAGCGCGCTGTTTAATTTCGATTTGAGTTGTTAAATTACATTGACGTTCCCTCTAGAATGGAGGGCGCCACACTACATCCTCCCATTAATGTTACAATATGAATTGTATAACTAAAAGTCACGCACACCTTGATACAATTGATTTGTTCCTCGGTGTTGGCATTACTTGGAAAAAAATTAAATCTCATTTCTAAAAATTCCTTCACATTTATCTCTGACTCATCGTTGTCATCAAATGGAATCTTTATTACACCTGGCGCTGTTTCTTCTTTTAGACATTCTTTCAAGATTTTCTTAACATTGTCGAGAACTTCTTTTTGTTCCTGTACAAATACAAATTATTGTGCATTGCTGAAAGTTATGACAAACAAATCGGTTGGGTTGTACTTACTTCAGTCAAATTGCCGAACAATCGTTTTCTTTGTGCACTGACAAACCGTCCAAGAAATTTGAAGCAGATTCTACGATAAAAATAAATGTAAAAGAAAAACGTGAACGGATTTACTACAATTTTATAGAAAAATTTACTTTTGAGCAACACCATTAAGTGCATAACACTTTTCTGATAATTTTGTTATTGTATTGGCAGTTTTTTCGATATCATCGAACCATGGTTTCAAATTGGCGTTCTCGTCCTTAATTTTATTAATTCCATCCTTTAAAACAAATGTTTGTATTCATAGAAAAAACGAATCTTGGATTCAAAAAAAAAAATACTCACTTCAACACACTTCCTTTGTTCATCGGTAATACGATGGTCATCGTAATTGAAGAATTCTCCGCTCAAAAGCTCAATATTGTCTAATTCAATTGAATAACCGTTTATCAGCTAAATAATAAGATATATATCTTATATTTATTATTGTTTTTATTCTGAAGTATTGAGATATTTAACCTACCGCAACGGCCGAAATTATAGCACAGTAGAATAGATATTGCTTCATTGCTGCCACAAAAAACTGTTACTGAATAATGGTCTTCTTGAACTTCAATTCACGAATGATACTTCGTCGTTCTTCCTACCAGATTTTATATGATATCTCGAATTAGATATGAGCAATTTAAAATGGTTTTATCATGAACAAACGTTCGATTCAATTGGCACTTCAGCTCACTATCGAAATCGACAGAACGTAATTTCTTGACAAATGATACGTATGAGACGATGGTGAAATCGAATTTTATATATCAAGGAATGTCAAGGAAAACATTCATTTAATAAGGAATTAAAAACTTCTCTGATAATCTCATGATTTAATGAAAGAAAAATATATTTGATCTGATTTCATTATACCAATAATCGAAAGAATTGTTTTTTATTTACTTAATAAGTAATACTTATTATCGTACAAGAAAAAGAATTGAAAATGATTCACATTAAATATACTCGAATCGAGTGGTTAATGTGATCTTATACTAAATGACATAGTGTTATTGTACGTTATCAATATGAAAAACACAGTCTACGCTCTCTGGTATCAAACTGCCTTTCTTTTATCTACTTTGTTGACAATTAAAACTAATTATTGCTTTTCAATTTGAGACGGCCAAAGTCTTGTACGTAGGCTGTTACTTATAATTTGGGCCTAATAACGAAATAACAATAATTCATCATTGAAAATCGCTTTATTGTTTTTCAAAGTAATCTCGACGATGATCGATACACTTTTGCATTCGCTTGAACCATTTGTCATAACCGTTTTTCCATTCCGCGTTAGACACCTCCAAAACGTGTGTTTTGAACGCATCAACTGCTTCTTCGGGCGTCGGAAATCGTTGACCACGTAGTTTATTCTTCACGTGAGGGAATAAAAAGAAATCGTTGGGTGTCAAATCAGGACTGTACGGCGGATGACCCATCAATTCGATCTTTTGAGTGGTCAAATAATCAGTTGTTTGATGAGATGTGTGAGAGCTCGCATTATCATGATGAAGAATAACTATTCTGTGACGGCGATCGTTTTTTTCTCAATTCACCAAACACTTTGGGCAAACAAATGGTGGTGTACCAATCAGAATTGACCGTCCCACGATCCTCTAGTGGAACGGTTGCTACATGTCCACTAATCGTGAAAAAACAGGCGACCATTTGCTTCGAAGTGCTTCTTGCTCGGACAACTTTCGTTGGATTATCTTCACTTTGGAAGACCCATACAGTCGACTGCTGTTTACTTTCGGGCTCATATGCATATATCCATGATTCGTCACCTGTCACGATTTGATACACCTCGATTGTATTTGTTGAGCTTTTCTTTACACACTAGCCATTATTTGATCATCGGTCAATTTATGTGGGATCCAACGCGAGCAAATTTTTTTCACGGCCAAATGTTCATGCAAAATCGTGTGTATGCTCATGGTATGTCACATGACGATCTTCCATTGTCATGTTTCTGGCAGCATCGATGTTTTGTGGAACAACAACTGATTTTAGACGACCTTCATGGGGCTCGTTTTTGAGCAAACCACGGCCACGATTGAATTCATTGTACCAGTTTTTCATAGTGCTGAAGGATGGTGCTTCATCGCCAAAAGTCGAAACAAGTTGATCGATACACTCTTGTCTTGATAATCCAAGTCGAAATTCGTAATAAATCATTGTACGAAAATTTTCACGAGTTAATTCCATTTTTTCGCTGAGAAGCAATTTACAAGTCACTCTAAACGATACAAATAGCGATCGTATGACCGAATTTATTAAGTATACAATCTTTGGCATTATCGGAAATAAAATGAATATCTGATTTTTTAGAACCTCATTTGAATACACAAAACTTACTTTAATGCATTTTTCAGAGCGCAGTCGCAACTGTAATCGTTGTATTCAGCATTCAAAAGGCTAAACTCATCTGATGTAATGGGATTACCATTTGCAAGCTACAGAAGAACATGAATAGATAGATAAATTAATTGTTTGATTTATTGAATGAATTCCTTCAAAGAATTGTGAGCTAACACCGAATAACACATTATATGCTTTGCAAATGAATCGTTGCGGAGAAAAAGTAGCTCTTATTTTTCTCCAAATAATACTGCAACATGAAGTTTTTTTCACACGGTTTATTTGTTGTAATACGAAGAAAAATAAGAGCTACTTTTTCTCCGCAACGATTCAAATGGCCTCTTGCTAATATGAAGGTACAAACGCAGCGCTATAATGTATAATAATGAATGTATATAATATTTCACATTTAACAAAAATGCCATGTTTCAGCGCCAAATTTGACAATTAACAAAAAAGATACACTGCATTGTGAAGTGCATGGAGAGATTTTGGAGCAAATAGGGAATTTAGTCAGAATATAACTTCCAACATTTTTAACCTCAACGTTTGACGATCTATGTGCTGATTATTCGGTTGTTTGTTCAGGCTTCAAACTTTAAATAATTTTAAAATCAAATTTAAAGGAATAACTTACCGTTACTGCTGCAATCAGAGCACAGAATACCAATAAAGTTTTCATTTTGTTCAACAGAAATGTAACGTTGAAAATTGATAGTTAACAACGTAAATCCAAAATGCGAATGGTTGTATTTTGATTCTTTCACCTGCATTTATACAGGTGAAAATTAGTTCAAATCATAAACGATCAAAAAAATTCAATGCGTACTCAAAATAATCAAAAGATTAGTGACAAAAATATATATACCAAATACAAAAGTATTATTTGAAGTGGTGATAGTTGACGTCAATTGGTGGTAGCGTTGATTTGGTGTTAAATCTGACTTTCACGAGCAATCGATTTTCATTTCAATGAGTGCATTGAAAACAAAAAAAACTTCAAATCATTTCATAACAAACAACATTGATACACATTTAATGCGCATTTAAAATTATCCGTGAAATTTAAAGATTTACGAGATTGACGTAAAATTTGAAAACTCTCTTGATTTTGGCTCTTATGGTGAAGTTTCGAAAAGAAGTATTATTTGAAATACAGACGTCTCAATCATTGACGTCAATTGATTAGGTATAAACTGTAACTGTAACACACGACCATTTAATATTTCCCCCCATTGAATGCTATTCAAACGTTTTTTTTTTATCTTCAGAATTACTCAAATTAAATTGGCAAATTGGCCGAATAAAACTTTTTAATGTGAAAATAAAATGGTACACATAAAATGCAACAACAATATAATTAAGTGGCAGTGCTATGGTAGCACCTTTCGTAATTGAAGTCAATGTTGATCGGTAAACCGGATTCGTTTTTAACTTCTTTCGTATAGCATTTCTTTTACTTCAAATTTTATGATTCATTATTTCACGTATGAAATTCAATTTTTGTTGCACATTACTGACAAAGCGATAAAGTGTTCATGAATTGTGTATGATTCGAAGTGTTTTACCAACCGCTTATGACCAAAAGCGTTTCAAATAACTAATTTAATATGAGAGCCTGAAACCCAAAACAAATTATAAAAATTCTTTTCGGAAAAAGAGCATAAGAAATTATTGAGCACAAAACGAGAATATAGAGAGTTGAGAGTTAAAACAACACATATAATACTGAGAGCAAAAGTAGCATATATCGATTTGCTGTTTTTACTCTCAATTCGGTATATTGTATTTTAACTCTCAGTTTTTATTCGCCTCATTTTAGCACTGAAAATGTATATCTCTTTATTGGAACCAATAAATATATTTATATTTGCTTTCGTCAAAAACATGAGACGAATAAAAACTGAGAGTCAAAATATAACATATCGCTTGTTTGTTTTGTCGCCAACTGAATTTATATTCTGTTTTAATTCTCAGTTCTGTATATGCTCTTTTAACTCTCAGTTTTTTTCTATCGCCTTTTTCATTTGAAATACATTCTTATGCTTTTTTTCCGAAAAGAATTTTTATAACTTGTTTTGGGTTTCAGGCTCTCATATTTCTTGACCACTATATATGCAAAAAATTCTTAATACTCTTTGAATACAACTATTCTGTGCATCAGGTATAAAATTGTTGCTTCTTATGATTGATTGTGGTTAAAAATAGTTTCGTTTTACTCATCGTCCCAACATTTAAGATATATTACGGAAATTTCGATGTATATTCAAAAGTCCGGTCATGTCGCAATTCCATGTCAAAGCATCCAGATTTTTGTGGGTATAATATTGTGATCAATTTCCGGGAGGAATTTTGTAATTTAAAGGGAGCCGTTGAAAGAATTCCATCATTCCTTTTATGGCTAAATAGATCCATCCCTCATGCACTTCTGTGCTGAGTTTGGGCGCGATACATCAACTACCAATATTCATTTATTCACTTGCTTAATCATAATTTGGCGCTGAAAAATAGCATTGTTGTTAAATGTAGTAAAACGTGGTTTCAGGTAAAATAAATCATATCTTGGGAGGTTTTGACCCCCAGACCCCCTTAAGGGAGGACTTGGAGGGCAGGGGTCCTAAAAAATTTCTCTCGTCATTCTGAACAACTTTGTAGTGAAGTTTTGAAAAATTTGGGTCACCCCCATCCCCCTGGGGAAGAATTCAAAATTCTGCTCCGATAGAAATTTTTTATTTTCTACCCCCAAAGGGTTTTTTAAATATCCCACCCCCTAAGAGTGAGCCTATTATATGCGCCACCCTGTATATATTATAGCGCTGCGTTTGCATGCAGCAGTACCTTCATATTAGCTATTCTTGGCCATTTTCAAAGCATATCATGTGTTATTTAGTGTTATCTCACAAAAAAGAAACAAAGAATAAAACAATTAATCTATTATCTATCTATTCATGTTTTTCTGTAGCTTGCAAACGGTAATTCCATTACATCAGATGAGTATAGCCTTTTGAATGCTGAATGCAACGATTGTGGACTCAATTCTGCCCAGAAAAAATGCATTCAAGTAAGTTTTGTGTATTCAAATGAGGTTCTAAAAAATCAGATATTCATTTTATTTCCGATATATGCCAAAGATTGTATACTTGATAAATTCGTTTAGAATAAATATTTCAACTTGTAGGAAGGAGAGAAAAGATTAATAGAAGCACATCTGAATTTGAACCCTTGGTTTGATGATCAAGCAAACATCAGAAAAGTTGTACAAAATGGGCGATAAATGTTATGAGCTTGATCAAGAAGCACGAAAGTAATTTCTATATCTCTAAATGAAGATATTCATAATCGACAGTTTTAATTTGAACATTGATTGAAATAATTTTTAATTTTTCATCACAGAGAATGCTTCGAAAAATTGCAAAAAAAAAACATCCGTAAGATGAACTTTTCCGCACTGTGATCCACAAAATGCATTTATTACGTATTTTTTACCGTAAATGTGCAGAATGTCAAATAAAGTCCACGATCTTTTCACAACGCAATCAAAAAGATCAACATTCAAAAATCAACTTTTAGCTTTAAGCGACGATCATTTTTCTAACTCGACATTGGTATCTAATTATAATACTGTTTTCGTATGGCAACGTATGTGTACGTGAATAGCAATGCACACTAATACACACACAGCCGCTGTACGGTCGTGTGTATACTGCACAGTGTAAACCATTGTCGGAACGTTCCGTTTGCTCCGGTTCGTTCGGTAAGAAAACCAATGAAATGGTTTGGTTTTGGTTCACTCCACTGAGATGTGGTTTTTAACGGTGATTGGATGTATTATGCATCATTGTATCATACCTTTTTCCCAGCAACACATGTATAAAAATTTGTACAAACTCAAACTAATTCAGCCAGTTTTGGCGGTGAATAAATATTATTATCATTATTATAAATATGAATTCATGAGAAAACTAAATCTGATATAAGTTTTGCGATACAAATAATTTTTGATAGACTTTTCAATGCCTGTATGATATAGTAATGACGTGATTTTGAGCAAAAAATCCAAGATTTTGTTCGGAAGGTACCCCTCCCTTTTGTTCGAGAATGCTATTTTTGTGTGATAAAAATAACATGTGCAAAGTTTCAGCTCATTGCAATATTATACGGACATGGCTTCCATACAAAATCCAAATTTTTTGAAATTTTTGTATGAAAAGTGTGTCGAAAATTATTTGTATCGCAAAACAAATGTCATATTCGGTTTTCTCGTGCCAAAAAGCCCCCCAATACATATTTTTGAGTGTTTAAGAATACATTAAATATCACTTTTGGAAGAAAAATTGAATTTTTCCCATGGGCATCACACCAGACATGACACTTCACTCTATCAACCAAAGTCGCTAAAAATCTAGTGGTTTCTATTCCTCGGCACCCCCAATCGTCATGTAAAGTCAGATTTTGAATTACTTTTCTTGGTTGAAAGTGTTCGTGCTGACACATTTTTGCGTACAGCGTACAGGGTACAAGGTACGCACATACATTCGGACATCGAAAAAACGCTAGATTCGTGTTCTCTGGCCCCAAAAACTTCTGGGTGTTATTGTAATAAACAGGTAATTTTTTGACCGATTCCAATACTTTAATTTACACACTAGGTGTGTGCGGATAAGTAAAATAATGATTGTTTTTGTTTTTTTTTTATCCCAATAAGCTAGTACGTAAATTTTAAACGAAATCGGATACTATGCCTGCAAAAATCTGGACGCTTTGATATGGAATTGCCGTAATATATATATGATTTTACAAAGTATGCTTTATTCCATCATTATTTGAATATTCGTTCATCGTTTCGCCACCCATTAGTTAACTCATTCATGCAATGGATATTTCAATGAAATGAATTTTCAGAACACTTGAAGCATAACCGTTGCAACAAAGTTTCGCATTTTCATTTTGAAAACCGAAACATAATCTCTGCTCAATAGTTTTTTTATACAACACATTGTAAATGTTTTGTTACGTAAGCTGCTTACTATGTTGAATATTAGAGTTCATTTCTAAAGCAGTTTATTACTGTTATTATTTCAATTACATATTTTCATTTAATATTAAAATAGTGAAAACTCAAAACAAAATACTCCTACACCATTATATTTTTCGGTCAAGTTTCTATATTAAGTTTTTAATTGAAATTTCATTCTAATAATATCTGCATAAAAAAAACCGCACATGTATTGCAATTCAATCACGGGGGACGGCAGTCCTCCAAATGACGCAATACCTACATACATATGAGATATGTATATTTTGCGTCACTCTACATATACGTTAAAAAAATGAAAATCGATACCGCTGACTTTTGGAAAGGGGTTTTTGCATATTTTAGTATTACTCGGACACCAAATTAAGAATTCGCAAAAAAAAATAAAAAAATTCAAAATTTGGCCGCCAGGTGGCATTTTGACAAAAATCGCTGAAAATTCCTTTTTCTCGATTTTTGACCACCGAAATTATTTTTTCGAAAATTTTTATGGCCATATTCGGAACCTGGGGACTGCGTAGATAAAGTTAAAAAAAAGAATCATCACGATCGGTTGAAAAGTGGCTGAGATATGGTCAATTGGCCAAAAATGGCCAAAACCTCGAAATTGACCGCTTGGGGTGTTTGTATGTCTGTCCGTACTTTCTTTTAAATTGTGTGAAATTATTTTTTTTCGAAAGTAAACTGAAAATTGAGCAAACTTATTTCTCAGTTTCAAAAAATTCGTTGCGTAAGTGGTTTTGGTCTGGAGTCGAACATTTTTCTGGCCATCTTTAAGGTACAACAATGATTTATACGTCTTTGGAAAGGTAAAAGACTCACCTTTCCGGATCCGAAGTCAGAATGGAAAAATTTTCAAAAATATCCGCCAAGTGGCGTGTTATGTGACATTTTCGGCGAAAAATGACCATGACTTTTTTCACGTAATCCCAATTAAAAAAAATGCGTACATAGAAAAAATAAAAAAACTGGCCGCTTGTTGGATGATTTGGCGTATGTGTCATATCTGGGAAAATTCGTTTTTTTAAAAAAAAAATACTCCAAAGTTGAAAAAAAAATTTCGGCATATTTTCAATTTTTTGCCATTTTTGATCACAGGTATACGGGGAGTTTTTTAACAGAATCACGTCATTCTTAGCTTATTGGAAAGTCATTAAGGTCATCTTGATGAAGCAAAAATTCAGCGGAAAAGGTTAGATCAGAATGACTAGACCTCAAAAAATGGAGAAAAATCGATGAAAATCGTAGTTAATCATAACTTATCTCGAAAAAATGTATGTTTTGCTTCGATTTTTCCTCATAGATCGAAAGCGCACTCAATTTTGAGCCGATATGCACATGTTGAAACGACAACATTCTTTTATTTGGTGAAAATTGGTGAAAGTGTGAACTTAAGCGGCCACCTATATTTTAATATCTTCTGCAATGTACTAGGTTTTTACTTTGTTTGTTCACTTTGACAACTGATTTTACATAATTCGGACCAGAGGAATTCAATGTTGGTAACCGTTTTGAGAAATTAGTTCAAGTTTTTTAGATTTTTCGGCTTGAAACCATTCTTTTGGAATAATATTTCGAAAAAAAATGGTTTTTATTCGATTGCTATGAAAATTGGTATTTGGGTTTTTTTTGATAAGATAAAACTGAATATGACATTTATTTTGCATTAGAATTCGTTCATGGTACATTTCCTATACAAAAATCTTCATCTTTTGCCATTTTGAACATATTAACGGTAACCAAAATACTATCAAAACTATTGATATAAGTAAAAAACACTTCTTTCGAAGTTCCCAGTGTGACGCAATACTATAAATCTGAAAATGTTCTGATATAAATTTTCAGTGACGCGTTCACTCAAATATGCACAAAATGTTATTATTGCATCGCCTCTTTCGCCGCAAAAAATATGGAAACGTACACTCTATATACTTGCAGCGGCTTAGTATTTTTATGGACATAATACAAAAAATAAAAATTGAAAATAATTGCAATAATTGAAAAGAAGTGAAACATAACTTTTAGACACGTAAATCATTTTGTGTTTGCATTTTAGAGGCGCCGCAATAATAACATTTTGTACATATTTGAGTGAACGCGTCACTGAAAATTTATATCAGAACATTTTCAGATTTATAGTATTGCGTCACACTGGGAACTTCGAAAGAAGTGTTTTTTACTTATACGCATATACGATTCAAGCAGACTTTAATAATAATAACAATGCTGAATTTCTACACCGTTTTTGGATGTTTAATCCATTTCAAAGTCGCCGATGAAAGTTTTCTGGCCAGGGAGTCGATGGTCCCGATTATTTGTCCCCCAGAGATCTGAACTTGGCATTACCAAGAATTTTAAAGACTATAATAGCTTCTGACATGGGGCGGAAGAAACCCTCTCTCCACCGCATGAAGAACGGATTGGAAATACTTTGGATCGCCACCGTCACAAGCTATGAAGATTATTAATTTTGAATAACATTTTTTGCTCATCAATTTTTTTGTTATCTCGCTTAGCTCTAGAAATTATTCCATTCGATTATCATCAAATGTAATTTTTAATTAGAAACACTTGTCCGTCATTCACGCATGATCGTTGAGTTGGAATTAGTTACACCCACAGGTAGATTATCAACTCTTGTCTTATCATTCATCACTCTTGTTTTGGTTATCAGTCGTATTAAGCACATAATTCAATCTAATCAGAGATAATACTCGAATATTCTCTAAAACACATGAAATGTCGGTTCCGTTTTTGGCTCATATAAATTGATGTGAATTATCACCAACAGACCAATAATCCATACGGATTGATACGGACTAGAGAAATATTATTAAATTAAAATGAAGGTGCTTCTATCATTTTTTATTGTTTCAATGGCAATGGTACGTGCACTCTTCATCCCATTTAAATGGATTTCCCTTGCCAGTTACATATTTATTGAGTTAATTAATTTTTATTTGGTTTCTATTAGTTAGTCACTGCCAATCCCAGTAATTTGGAGTACGACGTTCAAAAGTTGGCATTTGATTTTCCTGTCACTGAAGCGCAAAAACAATGCATGGAAGTAAATACCATTTAATATTTAATGTTAAATATAGAAAATTTTAACTGGCCCATATCTCATGTGACGTATTATACATACATATATAAAATAGAAAGAATGGGATAAATTAGTTCAAAAATATCCTGATTTGGAGCCATGGTTCAAAGATGCTAAAAATATCGGCGAAAAATTGAAATTGGAAGCTGAGAGATGTGCCAATCTATCTGGAGTTAAAAAAGCGTTAGTTTTGCTTACAATTCCCATCGACGATTCAGAGTAAAACTTTACTTTGATTTAATGCTATTTTCTATTACAGAGTTTGTTTTGCCAAACTGAAATCAACTGAGCTTAACGAGTACCGAAGGCTAATCGATCTATTGCCAAGTGTAAGTAAATTCCCAATTCACTTTAATCTGCATCAAACAAATAAAAAATTATATTCCAATTTCAATTTGTAGCAACACAAATTCGTTCTAACTGAAATTAAGAGCGCTCTCAAGGGCTGTATGAAGGCTTGAGTTCTGTATGAACTATATCTGGCTTCAAATACAAATTTACAATAAAATGTTGTTTTCTTTACTGTAAAAAAATATAGATTGTATCAATTCATATATCTTGGATACCAAACGGGGCACTATTTTAACAAAACTATTTTACTTCTATCGATCTGTCAGACATATTTGTATCTCTTTGTGAGGTTTTGATTACTTACTTTCAAAAATGATTAAATTATTTTGTGGTTTTCTTAAAAAATAATTAATTTTAATATAAAAAGAATTTATATACCCTTGGCAAGAAAGTAGTTATTAACATTCTCTTCTGATCCATCTCTTATTTAAAAAAATATTTCATAATGATCGAAATCGTAAAAGAAAGCTTTTCGATTAAAAGATTTATATATAGAATGTGCAGTTTTGTTCCGTACTTTGTCGTTTTGTGTAGATTTAATAATTTTTTAACTTTTTAAAACTGAATCCAATGGTCAATTGGCCATAATAATTTTATATAAAATCCATTATGAAACTCTTAATCGGTCACTATCAAGCGTTCAGGATCGCATACATTTATGCGATACATTGAATGATGCATGCATCGTTTGATGCGAATCAAATAACGCAAACACAACGCTAACGATGTCGCTGTGAGTACGGACCTGACAGCGCACGACGTGCTTATATGATACACGTAATGATGTGAATGTTCAATAAAGCAAGATCGTCGTGTGCTACTAGATCCGCACGTACAACGACAGCGTTAGCGTTATTTGATGCGCATGAAATGATGCATGCATCATTCAATGTATGCGATCCTGAACGCTTGGTCACTATCAATGAAGTCATAAACATGCGAACAACTTTATTTTTAAATCACACGATCGTATGGAATGATCACATAACCTTTTTATTAAAAGATGATAACATTTATTGCGGCAATTGACATTTGTGATAATAATTCAGTAGCATTTTATATGACTTTGTGTTTTCATTGTGCAATGTTGGTATTTTTAATGTAGGAAATTATTGTTGTTGTTGAAATTATTTGATTTTACTTCGGCACAGGTTCATCGTAAGTCAATATCAATCTTCCCTAGTGTCGGAAACATTTAGTAACATGGGGTCAATCACGAAATTCTAGTGCATCTAGTTTTTGATAAGATTTCACTAGAAAACTAGAAAATTCTAGTGCTTGAAGTTGGCTCGCAGTAGTTTTTCATATATATTATATGGCCTTTGGTGTGAAGTTGGCTTCGTTTGTGACGTCATTCTTCGCACTAGATTTACTAGTTTTTCTAGTATTCACTAGCGTGATTCGCCCCATATTTAGTAAACTCTTTGCCATACTTGTATTCGAGGTCTTCGGGCAAGTTTATAGGCAAGTTTATAGGCTGCTTTAGCTGCAGTATCAAGCGCTCTATGGAATTTTCTAAAGTTAAATTTAAGAACGATTACAACATCAAAAATAGTATAAACACACTGACCATTGTTTTTTTCCCGGGAGAACTTCACAATTTTTGGATTGACTTCTAAAATATTACAAAAATCCAATTTTCCCAGCATATTCCCAATCTTTTAGGTGTGCATATTTTTCTACAAACACATCAATCACTTGCTTTACCCAAATGGTTTATAAATTAAGAAATATATATCAATTCTTCCAACGGTTAGATATCATGAGCTTTTTTACCATTCCGCATTGGACCTGTTCATCAGTGATTGGAAACGTTATTTCACCTCCATCGATATGATCAACATTAGAGTAAGATAAGTTGACTGAAGTTTCGACAGAATGACCATTTACATGCTGCATTAAGAACATATTAAAGTAAAATTTTTGAATTGAATTTTTGAAGCAAATTTGATGAAATGACTTACTGCCAAAATCACAGCACAAATTACTAAAAGTTGTTTCACATTTAAACGAATATCACGAATGTCACTTTAACAAAACAAAAATAAATAATAATGTTATTCTTTTGCATCAGAATTTATACAAATATCTGACACTTTAAAGTGTTTTATCACAAATCGTAATAAAAATTCAATCAGAACTTGAAATAAATACACTGCCAATTTACTTGTGCTTGATCTATCTCCCAGCTGACAAACTGAACAATTTCAATAAAAAACGTAGGACTTGAACGCGAGTTAAAACATACAATTAAGTCAGATTCCCATAAAAACTCTTAGGTAAAATCTGATTTTCAAGGAAAATATTTTTCCTGGACGAATAAACAAAAAATCTTTGGTTATTGGACTCAGGCATCTGAAAAAAGTTGTGTCAAGTTGATAGCTGATACCTTGTTGGACTTATGCATGTCGTAGGCGTACACACTTATATTTCCAGTATTAGTTATTAGCATTTTTGGATTTTTATATATAATTAATCCAAAAGGATTAATAGTTAGTCCCAATGGATTAAATTATTATTTTATAATTATAAACATATTTTTGTTTTAAAATTCATGCGTATTCTCTAGCGAGCGCCAAAAACATCATCTTACATACTATTCTCTCACTTCATACGAAAGAATAACAACAATTGTATGGCAACACTCAAACGGCAACTATATGAAAGTAAACTACTACACACGCATCACTTCTACTGGCGAGTCAGTCGTTGAACGTCGCTCGTATACATCTTTCCACTGAATCGCCAGTAAAAGTGATGCGTGTGTAGTAGTTGACTCTCATATAGTTGACGTTTGAGTGTAATCAAACAATTGTTGGTATTCTTTGGTATGAAGTTGAAAGAATAGTATAAGATGATGTTTTTGATGCTGGCTAGAGAATGTGCATGAATTTTAAAATAAAAATATGTTTATAATTATACAAAAATAACTTAATCCCTTGGGACTAACTATTAATCCTTTTGGATTAATTATATTTAAAAATCCCAAAGTGCTAAAAATTAATACTAGCGATATAAGTGTGTATTTCTACGAACTTTTATTTAAAATAAACCCATTTGCTGCCTTAGGGCTTAACGTCAGCCAACGTTAAAAGTTTCGATTTTGTGCCTATTTTCGAAAATGCGATGACACATTTGCGTGAATTTAGACGAATAGTATTTGGGATGTCTACATTAAGAGTTTTACGTTGAAGAGAAAAATGGTTGTTGTCACTAAATCAAAATATACCAGTTTATCTGCTAAAATATCCGGCTGGATTTATCAGCATTGATGATATTCAAGAAATATTGGTGCCTACCAAACACGCTTATATCATTGTTTTGTTATTAAATATTCCAAAATAAATGATAATTGAACGCTCTGGAATAAAAACAACGTACAGAATGGTTGTTATATCAAAGCGGAACACGGCGTTTTTTTTAAACATAGATTTGTTGATGTAATACCATTCAGTACGTTGTTTTTATTCTAGAGCGTTCAATTATAATGATACCATACTCACATATATTTTGGTTTTAATTGGACACAATTTTCGTTTAGAATTATTAAAATATGCAATCATCTCGACTGATATCGATTTCCAATTATTTGTTTTAGTAAATGAATATTACATTTATGATTACAAACAGATTAATTGCAAGTTGATATGAATTTTATTCACATTTTAATAATAATAAAATAAAAATGAAAATAATCGAAACTAATATTTAAAGTGTATTTTCATTCAAAATGTTTCTTGAACGAATTAGTGTCATAATCTAACATATTCAATTCTATTGGTGTTTGAAGCATTCAAAAAATTCGATGACGAAGTAATTTTTTAGATCTTCTGATAAAACATTCAGTAAACGATTGCATTCATATTTCACCAAGAGGTTGAGTTTTTTATAGCATTCTCTGCAAAAAAAAAGAAAAGTTTTAAGTCTTTTTTTTTGGAAATTAGTGAAACAAGAATCTTCACTTTAAATTCATACTTTTTATCTTTAGGTAAATGATGTGCTTCACACTTTTTGGCTTGATTTTGGAAACCGTTTAATGTCATTTTCACATCTTGACTCCACTCTTGATAAATTGGATATTTTTCAACCAATTTCTAAACGACTTTCTATAATTAAATCGTCAACACAATCATAAAAAAAGTCACCAAACAAATTTAAAATATCAATCTTACCACTCCACATTGCAACTGTTCTACAGAAATTTAAAAAATAATATCATTATAACGTTCAGATAGAGCTAAATGTGGCTGAAAACACGTTGTAAGGTCGTTTTCGAATTGAGTTTGAAGATTTGCAGGTAACATGTTAAGCAAATGTGTGTATCTGTCGTAAGAGACATTTTTAAGTGTTTCGAAACATTTTCTGTAAGTTAAATTAAATATTTTTATAGATAAACGTTAGATTACCACAAAACGACTTTGACTTGAGCTAAAATTAATACAAACTCTTTTTCAGTTCCAGTAAGTGCCGAGAGTCAAGCGCAATAAGGGCACACTATATAAACGCCATCTATTAATAACCGACTAACTACAATGTAAATCAAACGTATCTGTTTCCCCTCTCGCTATACTTTTACATTGTAGTTAGTCTGTTTTACAAAGATGTCGTTTCTGTGTAAGATGTGTGACGTCACAATGTATTTATATGGATAGCGCTCGACTCTCGGTAAGTGCTTTGCACTTTCTTAAGTTTGGTACAAAAAATCGGAAATGCTTGCTTATATTCATCATGCCATTTTTCGAAACCAGCATTTTCCTCGGAGATTTTTTCAACCAATTTCTATAGTATATAGATTTTTAATAAATCGAAACCATTTAAAATAAAGAGGCTTACGTACGCAAGCTGTTTTTCCGCATGGAACCGAAATTTTGGGAATAAACAGAAATTATGGTCTATGTATGGTTGCAGTCAGGGCTGTAATTTTCACTCTGTCAGTGCACGCACACAGTAGTGTGCACACTCACATTCAATGTGCGTCGCACAAAGAGCTTGTATTTAAATGTGCACGCACACTTAGTAACAAATTTGCCAACCGCCAAAAATGTCAAACTTGTGACTAAGTGTGCGTGCACATTCAAAATATAAGCATTGTGTGCGACTCACATAGAATGTGAGTGTGCACTGTGCACATTACTGTGTGCGTGCACTGACAGAGTGAAAATTACAGCCCTGGTTGCAGTGCAAGTATCACTTGCGTTGTATATTGACAATGTATTTGAACGCGACTCGATTTAAGAAGCGCCATCTCTGTCACGCCAGGGTCTCATATATTTTTTTCTTGCAAATAAAATTGCAAAATTGTATAAATTGAATAAGTTTTGCAATAATAATAACGAAAATAATTAATAGAATTTATAATAAATAAAAAAAATTGAAAAAAACACACAAATATTTTATATTTGTCAATCAAAAAAATAGCCTGTTCAAAGTTTCACATCATTACGGTACCACAAAGGCATGTCTTTCATACAAAATGGAATTTTTTTGTGGATTTTTGTATGAAAAGTCTGTGAAAAATTGATTGCATCTTAAAACTAACATAAGATTCGGATTTCTCGATTTTCTGGATAGGTTTCAAAAAATTTCTGTCATAGATGTCCCCCTGGTGAAATACCACCAAATTTTTTTGCTGGTTATATCTTTGGAGTTTTAAAAAATGAAGTATTTGTAATTCAACTAATCTTAAATTCTTAATCCTTTGAGAGTTACCTAAGAGTTACCGCTGTCACACTTTTGTGGTTGATCATTTAATTATAGGAAGACTGACTATGAACGAAAGTTATATTTTATGGTGATTTGCCATTCTCTACATTTATTATGCAAGTAAAAAAGTTTGAGTACTTATTGTTATTGAGTTATTTGTGGTTCTATTTCCTTCTTAACATTGTTGTCATGAAAGATTTACCGGCATTAAAATTGTAATGTTATTAACCATTAACTTTTCTTGCCTGTAATAGATACTACAATTGTATCGTTACAATTGTAATGTTTTACAGCAAAATGTAAATCTGTACCTTGAGGACGTATGATTGTTGTTCATGAGTTTTTTTTTACTTTTTTCGTTTTTGTCGACATATATTCGAAAAATATGAAGTGACTATTTTTGGGACTTATCTTGGGTTAAATAAAATACTTAAAAGTAAGGAAAATGATTCCTATTAGATGATAAGATTACTGTATCCCAATCCATATAATATAGAAAGGCCATACAATGATTTTTAGATAGGATAGATGCGTAAGATCGCCGCAAGATCCAGATCCAAACGTGCGTACGCTGCCGCATGATGCATACATATATAATACGCACGCAAATTCGTTATTCTTATTTCCCCTTCTTTGATTCGCATGCCATAGCATTACGGAGTAAGGAATGTATGTATCATGCGGCTACGTACGCACGCTTGGATCCGGATCTTGCGGAGATCTTACGGATCTATTCTATCCAAAAATCATTGTATGAGAAAGGCTTACCACTGGATTTGTATGTATTTTCACATTTATAGGAATTAATTAAAACTTTTCTATATTAAAATGCTTGAAAAGTGCACGACTGATACGCATGTTGATTGTATGAGGGTGAAATCAATGTGATAGCTGAGACCAAGGGTACACACCATACCCTTTGTTCTAGTTTTTTTTAGTCAACACCCATTTAGATTATGTTTCGAACGTTAGTGTGAAAACTATGATCTCCATTCATTAATTGTTTTAATGCTTTTACGATATTTTCGAGTCATATGAATTGGCATTTGTCCAATAAAAACACAACATATTTGGATTTGATATATATATTTTATAAATTATTTTAAAACTATTATTATTTAATTCTATTTTCCCTGATTTACAATTATATTTTCTTGAACTATCGATCATCATTCCCTTAGTTGAAGCATTTCTTAAAGTCTTCAATAAATTTCCCTCTAATATCCTTCTCTAGCATATTAACCAAACGATTGTATTCGACTTTGGCGTGTTCATTGAGTCGTTTGTAGCATTCTCTTTTATCGTTTGGTTTATGAATAGCTTCGCACTTTTTGGTTTGCACTCTAAAATTAACTGAAATCGTTTTCACATCCTGACTCCATTGTGTATATTGGGGATAATTTTCGACCAATTTTAAAACCACGCTCTAAAATTCAATAAAATAAGATGTAAACATTAAGACTGAATCATGATATAATGAAATCAAACATTTTTACCTTTCCACAATTAAATTCTTCCGCAGTGATTGGAAATGTGATACCCTCCAATGGAGTAGCATCATCGAATTTAGAAGCAAAACTGAACACTTCTGGCTGGACATATTTAGTGAAACTCTTGCTGGACTTTACTCTCAAATGTTCGGGTAACATTTTCACCAAACGATTATATTCATTGTAAGTATGCGTTTTTAAGTTTTCGTAACATTCACTAAAATCATAAAAAATGCATATGAAATATATTGATTAACTTATTGACATACAATGCAAAACTTACTGTTGCTCAATGTCTGCGAGTGTTTTGCATTCGTGTAAAGTCTTTGCAAATGTAAGAAATGCTTGTTGAAATTCATTATGCCAACTTTCCAAACCGTGATTTTCTTGTACCGTTTCCTTGACTAATTTCTGCATGTAATAAAAATATGATATTTGGAAAATAACTCATTATACATTTTAATGGGCGAAAATTAAATTGATTCTTACGAAAATTTGTGGCCCAATTGGATTGGTAAAATCGACAAAATTCGAAGATGCATGAGCAGCCTAAAAAGATAATTATGTGAAAAAAATTTCATTGAAAAATGTAAATAATATTGATTTCCTTACCACTGTCACTGATAGTACAACACCAAGTAGTAAAAATTGTTTCATTTTGTTTGCGACAAATTGGTTTATGACCAGTTATAATAATAATGATATTGAATTGAATTCAATCTTCCAAATTGCAATGAAGTTCATTGAATGAATCGTTGTTTGATGTGCGTCCACATTTATACAATTTTCAGTTTGCGATAAGCTTTTGGTTATAATCATAACACGTGTATGTAATCGAACTTTTGTTGACACACCATGTTTTGATCATCGTAGCCGTTATTGATCTGCTCATGATTTGTTTTAAGTATGCCTCTTCCGCGTCTGTGTCCAAATTAACTAAATTGAATTGTAGTCAGACGATAAGATAATCTGTACTTCAGTAGTATAGTTTTGATGTTTTGAAGCCGAAAAAAAAATTGACTTTTATTCGATGTTTCCAAACATTTTTTTTAATTGACACATTTGCTTTTAACGTGATTTGTAAATTTGAGCAAAAAAAAAAATCCAAATGAAAAATAATTCATTAGTTATGAATAATTGAATGAAAAACGGTGTTTTGACAAGCAACAGGTTTGCAATTGCTGAAATTAGTTTTCTACTTCGTTGCCATTATCCATAAATTTATGCACATTAATAAATAAAAGCATGTTCGATTCCATTATTCATAATTATGTCGTTGCTAAACGTAATAAAATTTTATCAGTCCTCTTCGGCTGACAATATTTCGGTAATTTTCCAGATTTTAAGCGGTTGAACGATGCATTCATGGCCCATTAATTTGACATTCTCATTGAATTGTTTAAAATGTAAACTAACTTTTTGTATTTAAACATTCAATCCGTTCGATGTGTATACATATATGTTATATCAATTAGTCCAAGATTATTATAGTAATATCACTTGAACAAGGCGTGTTTTTATCATGCTGTTCGTAATTTTTTATATATCGTGATGCATGAAGACACCAGATGGTCATTTATAATTATTCGATTGTGTTTGGTGTGCGATTTCATTTAGGCGCTATCCCAAATTTCACTTCAAGCAAAATATACAATCGGAAGAAATTACGACTCATTGCTCGCTTTTTCTATTTGATAATTTTTTTGATAGAATCTAATAAACGATTCCGAATCACAAAATCACGCTATACACTGAAAACGGTTTTATTTCATCAGTCAAATTGGATATTAAATTGGAATTGCGCTTTTTAAATACACATCAATCACCGGATAAAATTGATGTATTTGGAAAAGAAATACGGCAAAAAAATGCAATAAATTTCAAATTCATCTCAATATAAAGATAATTCGATGACTCATTCACGTAAGTTGTTAATACCAGTATCAAAAGTTCACTAGAAAATGACAAGCGCTCAATTTGAAATGTTAAATTTAAAGCACTCCTCAAGGGCCAATCAATATAAAATCCAAAATATTAACAAAATACCGGATTGTAAGAGCAATCGAAACAACAACAACAACAATAAAAAATTGCCAACCATATCAAATTGTCAATTGAAAAATCGCATTGAAATGGGATGCTTGGGACAATGTTATTGCCAGTAAATTGTCATGGAATATAATATGTGCACATCCGAATTTGAATCGATGTAAAAATTACCACAATTCCAAATCAGCCATTAAATTGATGAATTTTGTAGTACATTCGATTACCTTACACATTATTCGAAGTGGAAATAATGTATAATAAGTTCTGTGTGCACGCTTCACCATGCACATGGTCAATCGAAATGAAATACATACCAGCACTCTGTTGAACAGGCACATACAAAACATTGATCGGGATTTTTAAATGTTTGCTCGACAAACAGATACCAGAATTTACCACATTTAAACACACGTGAAAGCGACAAGAACATTTTCCATCCATCCATTTGTTTAAGGTACCGGAAACATATGAAAAAAGCATTTCCAGTAAAATTACATTTTGCAAAGTTTCTGGGCTAGTGGAAAGAGAGGGAGCGAGAGCATCGGACATAGCATCGGATTGTATTCTCGGCAAACGAAACGAGAATGTGAGCGCTGCTAGTGTGGCTGGCAGCAACCTATTTAACATTTCGCTTTGTTTGTGATTTGCTTGCGAATTATCGAAAATTCAATTTCATTCAGGTTACAAATTTTAACACACTTGCTATGCAGATAAAATTCAATTACATTGAGTGGCGGACCCGTGCAACCTCATATGCAAATAGACATTTGTTCGCTCTTTTTGCAACGACAATTTTGGAATTTTATTCTCAACATTTTACAACACTGTTACGTTTTATAAAATTTACTGTTCATATCTTTGTATATCTAGAGATACATGTATAATGTACATCATGATGTTTATATTTTGAATTTGATTTCATGTACGGTATTAATTTTCAATGGAATTGCCACTTTTTTGTTATTTCGGTTCTGAATTTTGATAGGGTATTTGTTTTATATTCAAATCCGTTAATATCATTAAAATTGCAATAGTTCATTTTTTTTATATACAATTTATTGTTCTAATTATAAATAAAACACATATCACAATTTTGTTTCTATTTATTGATACATTCAGTGTCCAATTGTCCATCCTGTGTTTCATTCATTAGTTGACAAAAAAGGAGTAAGACATCTGATTGATAAGAGCTCGAAAATGCGCGCCAGACAATACACGTGCCGAAAAAAGATTAACAAAAAAAAAAATGGCAAACGGTGTTGTATTATAAATAAAATGCAATGTCAAGTTCGATCAAGTGGTTTGGATAATTTATATTTCAAGTGATTTAACAAACATTTACACATTTGACTGACAGATTTTAAACATATACAGGGTGGCGCATTTAATCGGGTTTTCCAGGGGGGTGGGAATTTTGAAAAACCCTTTGAGGGGTATGTTGTGGGTAAAAAATAAAAAATTTCTATCGGAGCAGAATTTTGAATTTTTCCCCAGGGGGGGTGGGGGTGCCCCCAATTTTGCAAAACTTCATCGGATCAAAAAATCATGTACTACAAAGTTGTTCAAAATGACGAGAGAAATTTTTTAGGACCCCTGCCCTCCAAGTCCCTGCACCCCTTAAGGGGGTCGGGGGGTCAAAAACCCCCAAGATGTGATTTTTTTGACCTGAAACCCAAAAATTCAGAGTCAGCATGAAAAATTACCTTAGAATCGATATTTTTCTACCCCTCAAATCTTACAAAGTCGATTTTACACTTTTTTGGTCCAAAATTTGTGAAAAAACGTGAATGAGAAAAATATCGATTCTAAGGTAATTTTTCATGCTGATTCCGAATTTTTGGGTTTCAGGTCAAAAAAATCACATCTTGGGGGTTTTTGACCCCCCGACCCCCTTAAGGGGTGCATGGACTTGGAGGGCAGGGGTCCTAAAAAATTTCTCTCGTCATTTTGAACAACTTTGTAGTACATGATTTTTTGATCCGATGAAGTTTTGCAAAATTGGGGGCACCCCCACCCCCCCCTGGGGAAAAATTCAAAATTCTGCTCCGATAGAAATTTTTTATTTTTTACCCACAACATACCCCTCAAAGGGTTTTTCAAAATTCCCACCCCCCTGGAAAACCCGATTAAATGCGCCACCCTGTATGTATATAATATAGATTGATTCATTCGGTTTGGGTGGCAATATTGAAATGGAAAAGCAATTGACATTAAGATCCAAATATGAACAATTGAAGTGGAGTGTACAGCGCAATATCCACAAGTGAGCGAACGGATGATCTACTGCATGACTGAACGACTGAGATAAACAAAGAGACATATAAAACAGTGAAATATGTCACATGGAAAATTCTTATACATATATATACATGCATATGCTGACACACACACACAAACACACACATCTATCGGATGTATCATGAGCAATTAGTTATGTGAGCTTGTGGTCGTCGTTTTCGGTAGAGTAGATTTAACTTTGTTGATTGTTGGCATCCGCATAGTTGAGCGAACTAAAGTCGCCGGTATTGCACGATATCGTTGGTATGTTTGAATTGGAAAATCCTTTGTAGTCGGTAGATGTTGGTTTAAGTGGTGAGGGTAATAGTACTTGATTGGGTGAATCTTCGCTTTCGATTAATGTTGTTGGTTTTGAGTCGGTTAAACTGATATTCAGTGGCTTTGATTGCGATGACGACGATGTGGACACTTCTACTGTATTACTATTCTCAATATTTCGTAATGGATCAAATTCATCCAAATTAAATGACGAATTTGAATCCGATGTTTTGAGTGCATTTACTGCAATCGGTTCAAGCGTTGATGTTATTGTTGTTGATCGTCCAGCCGCTTCGCCGGCTACATCCTCTGATATACTATTTTCACCGCTATTATCAGAGAATGTGAAATCATAATTGATATTAGTGATGCCTTTTAGGAAATTAATTGGCGCAAATTCGTCGGGTGTTGTTTCATCAAACGATTGATTATCAAAAGATAGACTACACGGCCCAAAACTTGGCGATACTGATAAATAGTCAATGCTTGGACTTGATTTCATTGGATCGTTAATGGTTGGTAGTAGAATTTCATTTTCAAGAATATCCACACCACCCGTAAATGTTTCAGTATCGCTTGGTTTTGACGATGAAAGAGCATCACCGGTGGCCGATTCTTTTGATTCAGCTTCTAATCCAAATGGAAATGGACTGTCTTTTGATTTCAAATTTATTGCAGCCATTGAAGATACCAAATTTGACATAAAATGACCACCACTGCTGGCGCTATTGTTTGCTTGAAATTGTGACGGACGATCCAAGGACAATCTATGTTTGATACTTGAAGGCAATATGTTGTCTCGTAGTGACTGCAACGTTTTGATTTCTTTAAACTCGAACTGAGTGCGCTGTAGAACGGCATTTAAATTTTTCGACAAATTTTCCTATTTCAAACAATAGAATAACAAATATTTCAATCTATTGACCCATTACAATTGAAATCGATGATATAGAAGATGCATATTCCAAGAGAACTCACCTTAAATTCAGTAATATCTTTGTCCATTTGTTGAATATAGTCAAGTGTTTCGTTATTTCGTTTATTTAGCTGTGTGATTGTTTTACAATTTTCATCCAGCATATGCATCATTTCGCATGACATCAGTGCACTCTCCCACACCGAATGGATTGCAATTTGACCCGACATCAAAGCATTGAATTCACTCACTGGCATCGATAGTGATTCGTGCGTTAAATTTTCGATAAAAGAAATTGCACAACACTGCAATCAAAGAACAAAAAAAATGAAAATGTATCTCATCATTCGATTCATAAAATTGAAATGGAACAACGTTTGAAATGGTGCGAATAACGCCCCAAAAATTCAACAAATACGAAATCTCATAAATGATCTCCCTCTCACACACTAACATGCACACAAACACACATACATACCAAATTGGTGAAATAATATCCGCCTTCTCCACTCATCAATCGTGATGCATTACTGAATCGTGTAATGTAATTTATATTGCTATGCAATCGAACTGGGTTCGCTTTCAATACTACAAATATTAATGCTGGCAAAAATTCATCAGCACTAGCCGGTCCGTCTGAGCCATGCTTCAGCAATGTAAATATATTACGGCAACTGCGCACAATACAATCGAGTTTCTCTTGCGGCGATGGATACGAATCCATTGATATTAATTCTATGTTAATGGGAATAATTTTAGTGCATCATTTACTTGGGCGTCGGTGTTATTGTTGAATGGTCTTGTATTTACCGTTAATTGAACAATAAACTAAATCACGAACATCGGCATTCACTTCATCAATGCTACACACCAAATGCCGTGCATTTATCCAACTTAATTGTCGAATGCGCTTGTGAACAGCAGCATCTTTTTCTTCATCATTTGTGAATGGAGGTGAAAACAGTATTCTGAAATTTTTAAATTCCATTTAAATCAATTTAGAAGATTTACTATCAGAGCTGTTTTTTTTTACACCGGAGTAATGTCCACAGTTCTGTTTATTTTGAAAGCAAAATTTATATTGAATATTGACATACTTATGGTTGCGTGTCATAACAACTTTTTCGAAGAAATCGATAATTTGCTCGATTAATTCGGACGAAACATTTGAAAATTGTGATTCGGGCGAGTTAATGAAGTCGGCAAACTTGACATAGCTATTTTGAACGCTTTCACTTAATTCCACAATATTGCTATTCAAATACTTCTTTTTTATCACATTCTCCAGCATTTGTATCAGATATGTCAATTCTTTCTTTGCATTGTCGGGAATTTTGAGATGCTAAAAATAAAGTAAAAAAAAAATACATTTTTCTTATAAAAAAATACAACAAATTCGTATTGTGCCCAATGATAACAAACCTTCAAAATTTCGATGCATTCGAGTTCAAATTTATCGATGACGTGTGGACTGGTTCGTTGTTTAATTGGTTTACCAATTTCTTTGGCATTCGATGGTTTTTTGAATACTTCCAACAAATTTCGTTTCTTCTTGCCTTTATCGTCTTTTACATGTCGATGTACATCTTTGGAATGTTGTGACTCATGTCGTTGGATTTGTGAATGTTCACCCAATGAAGTGGCACCACCTTGTAAAATTGATTTGACTGCCTGCACTTCACGTTTCAATTGTGATTCTTTTACGACTTTATTTTCTAAACATAAAAAAACCAACGAAAATGCTCAATTAATGTATTTGAAAAAAGTTGCAAATCTACACTGTCCATGGTCAATTACCATTTAATTGTTGTATGTTTTTCTCTCGATAGCATTTTGAACAGAGCATATCACATTGTGCATTTCCATAGAATCCACAACCCTGTTTGCACATTAAATCACGATTGATTCGCAAGCCAGACGCTCGTGATGGATACATTTTGTTGTCAATTCACAGTTTTAAGATAAAATACGAGCGAAAAATAATTATTATTATCCTAAACATAAATATAAATGTCACTGTGTCTATTCCGTGCACAAAAATGTCATTGTTGCTCATTTCACTGGATTCGTTCAGTCGTCATTAGATTGACAGTTGAAAATACTGTAAAAACCTGTAGAGATCGCTAGTGGTAAATTTTTGACAGATACAAACACTGTTAATATAAAATCTTGTATTTCAACACAAAAACACACATTAAATCGATTCGACGATTTCAATTTCGAAATACACACAAAATTCTACTTTTTTAAATCGATTCATTTCATGAAATATTCCACCGTAAATATTTTCAATTTTATTTTTTTCATTTTAACGCATAATGTGAAATCACACATTTATAAAACGGGTAATGTGTGCATAATTTCCTTTGTCAAAATTGGTGGAAAAAAAGTGTGTGTATTTTTGTGGGTAAATAAAAATTGCATTGTTTATTTAAGTCGTCACAAACGTGGTTCGTTTTGAGTGACAAAGGAAATTTCATTATTTTGTTTCCATTGTGTGTGCAATGCGCTTTGTGCTCCGTTTGTAATAAAAGGAACGTGAAACGGTTTTGTGTTGAGCGCTTTAATTCAAATATTCAATTTTACGGGCAAAAAACATCAAGACGAGAGTGAAAGAAAGAATCAGCTGTTTTGAGACTCAGTAAAAGAATCTTTTGATGTGCAAACTGTCTACTTTTTAGTCCCATTCAAACGATTCGACATAACGCAATTTTTGACAGCTACTGTACAGGAGTGTGTGTGTGTCTGTGTGGTGGTGCGAAGTAATTTGCGTTTACATTTTCCACATAAACTCACTCAAATAAGCCATTGAAATGGTTGGCATTAGTGACAGGTAAATATTAAAAAAAAAATCGTGATACAAAAAAAAATATTATTTTCTTGCGTATTCATCGGCATAAGGTGCACATTGTTTTTTTTTTTTTTTGCCATTACAAAATAAAAAGAAGATTCAACTGTTTTTGTTAATTCTTCCGTTCGCTTCATCTTTTGTAATCGATTTGATTAGCTCACCACTACATCACATGAACCGTATTCATTTTCTGCTACTATTTAAAACTAAATTCCCACTTTGAATGAAGAGCCAGTTGCATTTTTTTCTTGCTTGTATCTGTTGCGTAACACATGATATCAATAAAATATTCGATAACATCCGTAATCGATTTATTTTTGGAACACAACATTTTCAAGGCCACATTTGTTCAAGATTTTTATTTTATACAAATGTTTTTATTTTTTATTCTATTTCCTTAAAATATTCTATATCTCTTTCACCAGTCTTTGTTTTTTTCGTCTTCGTTCAATTCATTCAGTAGCTCAATAAATTTTGTTTTGCTTTTATTTTCCGCACTGTCACCAACTCTATATCACATTGTACACTCAATATAAAAAAGACACAGCGGAAAAAAGAATCCCGACAAATTTAATCAAATCATTGGTTAGCAATGGACTATTTGCTTTTGATTGAAGCATGCAATAGTGTCTAAATCTATATTAGTACGCACGCATTTGTGAATTGACTGTTATCATTACATGAAGTAACCGCAAATTTTCGCATTCATTGTATCGCTCGTTTGGTTGTCGTCATTTATTACAACTTCGTTTTTATCGTGATTTTAACGACATCATCGTCCATCGTCGATTCGTTGTGGTTTTGATTTGAAATCAGTATTTCTTTATCTCACTGAAGTTAGATGAAAAGTGACATTTAATAAAACAATCAAATTGAGATAAGAAACAAATTCGAAGAAGAATAAAAAAGATGATGATAAGTTAAGAATTTTTGTGCATTATGACATAACCTTGGCATGCATCAATCATACATACAAAGAAAGCGGTTACAATAGCATCTGTTAACTCTACAGTGTAGAAAAATTCTTTATAAATTATAATTTAATGTATGAATAAAAGCACAAATACATCTTCAAATCGCGTCGCTTTCAACATTTTTTTTTTTTCAATTTTTTTCTTAATTTTGTTGTTTAATTGGGCTTTATTATTCGTTTCCTTTTGTTTTCCGTCATAGAACAAAATGTTTTTTTATGCTGATTTCAGAAGTATGAAAAATCTCAAAATTATGTTGTGTTAATAAAAAATTTATTAGCAACTTTAATATGCATCATATATAATCGATAATATAACATAAATTTATTAATAGCTAATCCAGGAAAGAAAATTTGTCCCGAGGTGTAAGAGAAAACGGGCACGTTAAACGTTTAAGTTCAATAAACCGTAATCAAATTTGAAAACTGAATAAAAAAAACGAACGAATAAAAGCTTGAAGATAAAAAACGGGTTGGAGCCCAAAAATGGCATTCAGTCAATATACATCGAAACCTCTGAGTCCAATCGAGTAAGAGATTAAACAACATATTACATAGTTGAATATAGCATTTGTATCAATAGAACCGTTCGTTCTAATTACATGGTGTGTGACAGAAGTCACATATACTTTCGTTTGTTTTTTGTTATCATCTCTCGATTGAATGTTTAATTATTTTGTATGTGTGTGTTTTTTTTCTCGATTTCCTTTTTGATCATTCCGAATTTCCGGCATTGATTTCCGAATTATGTGGGCATTTATTTTCTATATATATATTTTCATGACTCTTTTGATGTTGCATGTGATTCAATTACTTGCTTTTGAAATCAACAAAACCCATAACATCTCGTTGCAATTCGAATGAATTAATTTGAATATTTATGCTTTTTGATTATTTTGTAGCGAGGATAAATCGACAACCACACAAGTAATTCGTGAGGTGTACGAAGGAGATGAGCACGATACATTTGAAAATGAATTGGAAAAGGCACTCGAGGCTAAAGTCAAATACATCATAATTGAACCACAACGTTTGGGTGATGAACGTGGCATACTTACTTAAAAATTACTATTCCATTACTCTACAATTTCTGATCCATTCCTCCCATTATATGCAATTGAAATAATCACAATATCAACTAGCTATTTAAAGAATGTAGTAAGAAAGTAGTAAAGGTTTGATCACACACACATACAGGTTAAATTAAGAACAATTTGAAAATGAACTAAAATCGCGATAGCAAACAGATTGCAATACAAAAATTGAGATTTGGTAGTGTTAGTAGCAGTGGAACAGAGAACATCACAACGAATCAACACGTTTGCCATACAATAGCATTCCATCGGGACAATATCGCAATGACAGCATCTAGACGCACGGACAGCATCTGAGCGAAAACAGCAGCACACACACAGACAGAGTGAGTACATTTGAATATTGTATGTTGTGTTTTGTGTACGCGTGTGTAAAATTCACAACGCATCGAGACAAGTGACATTTTCCAATTCCATCACTTTGCAAATGAAACAAAAAGTTGTGCACGTTGTATACGATCTCAGTGAGCTGGTCTTCAATTGTCTCATTTTTTATTTAGTTTCATTTTTAATTTGTATTTTTTTTTGTTTTGCATTTCATCAGGTCCAGTATCTCGTTGCAAACGATATTAGAGATTCGGAATGGGTACGCGAAGAAGAGGTCAAATCTGAAAATGCTCTGCATGCCATAGTGAAAGGTCAACAATTGAATCCGATTTTCACCGTTCGCAGACTGGCTGATCTCAACTGAGGTAAATTTCAAGTTGTAATGCAATAAGTAAAAGACATATGTACAATTGTACATACATACATTCGATTTGCTACTAATATTATGATTTCTTTTTCGTTTCTTTTTCATTTCACAGATCCAATTTACTGTAAATAACCACAACCAAATCTTAATTTTAAGCAATCTGTTTGCGTAAGCGCATTTAGCCATTAAGTTACGAAATTTAATGTGTGCGCCATACTGAAAGTAAAAAGCACACATAGTGTAGGTGTTACACTGTGATTAGATTATTTCAATTTCATTTTCCATTACATTCCATTACATGTTGATTAATTTCCATTAATTCCTATTTTTTCTTCTGATTATCTCTAGGTGATGAAACAGCACGATGGATTCGCGTCGGAAATTGTTTGCACAAAACGGCTGTGGTTAGTGGTTTGGCGTCAATTGTATGCGGTGCAATAATGCCAGATCGGCCTGTGTTCAGTGCACCATTGAGTGCAATTTCAATTTTTTGTACTGGACTCTATACAGTTAGCTGGAATGTTGATTATTGTTGTCAATATCAGGTAATTTGCAAACGTTTTTCTATTTTCATTTAATTAATGCGCACAATTGACGAAATTTGTGTTCGTCAATCAATCGAAACATGCACAACGTCTAAAATTATAAAACATAAATGATGTTTTTGGAAAATGCTAACCAGAAACCGATATATATATATATATATGTATATATATATATTTTGTTTACTTTTAGGTTGAGACAGACCCGAAGAAATTAGAAAAAATACCCGACTTCCAAAATTTCTCATCACCCATAGCATTAGTTTATACGAAAAATACTCGCACAAAATACCTACATCGATCAGTAACACTATTAGCAACTGCATTCTGTGCATGGACACTTTACGAAGCGTACAAATAGAACACACTCACAAACAATACAACAATTTGAGTTTTGTCATGTGTTTCAATTGTGTTGAACAAGTATTTCCAAATACCATCGGATCGCGATGTTCAGATTTTAATTGTTAACAATATCATTACCTATTTGAAATGAAATTTGGTTACAAATGCCATATTAGCCAACAGCAAAAAAAAAGTTTCAATACAAATTTTATTAAAAACCTTAGGCAAAAACCAAATTTTATTAAACAAGATGTATTTTGAAAATAAAAAGAAACCACATACAGAAAAAAACTATATTAAATTAATGTTAAGGATTGTGAAGGTATACCTTGTGTATACGTTTGAAGCGAATAAAAAGAAAAAAATTATTTTAAACATATAAACACACACATACACAAAAGTGAAATGAAATAAAAGAGAAGTTATTATTCTAGAACAGAGGAAACTCTATCTAGATACGCCAATTTAATGAAAGAGAAAAAAAATGAATAATTAGAAATGTTTTAATAAATTCAAAGACGCTGTATTATGTATATTAAAATTCGATTTGAATTTTAAACAGGAATTAAGAAATTATGAAACACAAATAATAATCTAGTTTGTTTTAGCTCTTGTTTCGAATTATACAAATTTAAATTACACACAGGATTGTTTGAAATTCGTTATTTGTTTAATTTTTCGATTTGTTTGCACAACATTTGCTTGCCAGAATTACCAAGGGAGAAAAAAAAATTGGGAAGAGAACCCAAAATATGCTAGATATAAAGAATATGATCAAAGACAAATACGGGTTTTTATGTAAACAGAAAAAATGAGCAACATTTTGACGTTTTAATATTAATGGAAATAAAAGAAAAGAAAGTTCAACAGCTATCTTCAGTCAATCCTGTGTATATAATTTTATAAAAAATAAAAAAAATAGCAATTCACTAGAAACATCGATGTTTTTCCTTTTCGCCAATAAACGCGACAATTTATTGCATTTTCAAAACAATAATTTCAGTTTTATATCAGTAATATTCTTAAATCATAGCAAATAACTGCCAATCAAATAAACATTCACCCATACACATATATCCATCCTTGGTTTAGATATATCCAACGCAATCCATATTGACGCATGTGCGTATTGTCGGCATATAAGAAGTCTATCGTGTATCTGTGTGTACATGTGACACTTAAACACACGAATCCATATTAACTTACAAGTATGTGTGTGGCGCTACAGAGACTGCTGAAAATATCAAACTGAATGAATGTGTCTCTGTTTATTGATGTTTGTGTTAGCTGTCAAACGCTTGGTTTTATTTATGGTAATTCGAAATAAACAAAAACCAAAAACAAACAACTAAATCAGAAAAATCACCAAACAATCGTTCATTGGGCTATCAATCGTTCTTCCATCGAACCAACTAAGAAAAAATTAAAAGTGTGTGTTTCGATTCAGAGAAACAGTTTCTCATTTTGGAAAAAAAAATGTTTCAGTGCTGTCCAAAGTTGATTCGAAATGCGCACTTTTCTGTTTGATAACAAAATGTGTGCACCACTTGGATGATTGCATGCAAACCATAGAGGGAAAAAAATAAATAGACATTTGCTATTAAAATCCATCGATATATACTCATTTTATCAACAACGCAAAATTCATACAAAAAAATCGAGATTTATCCATAGTTCATTAGTAAAATAGTGTCTTTATTCTACAAAGAAGAAAAAACAACACTGCCAAAATAACATCGACATTTCAGAGATTATTATTATTTTTTGTGGTGGATAAAAAATCTGTGAAGGAATTTCCTTGTGGGAGTTTCTAATCACTCAATTTATCACATTTCAAATCGCAACGAGGCGACCACCGTGGAATGGCTGAAGCGCATCAAGCTGTTGCATTTTCATTTTCAATAACGCACGAAGGATGGGACATCAATTACGATCGTGAAGTACTTGATTTGATTTGGGACTCGGGCGTTCGTTCATGGAAAAAGCGCATCGCACGATTTCGTGTAAGTATACAACCAATATTTCTATATATCTATATTTAAAATTGAACATTGTTCTGATAAATAATAATTGCCATGACATATAAATTGACTCTTTGAGTGTCATGAAATGAGAAAAACAAACTGTTGTTCAATTAATTTTCAGCTTATCTTAATTGTCGGACAAGGTTCAAAAATGAATAAGCGTATTCAGAAAATTGTCCTCGATTAATTGTTCTTTTTTTTTTGCTTAAAAAGTAGTTTTCTACACGCGACATTTAATATAAGTAAGATAATAACACAAAATTTCAACATTGGCTTTGTCATATGCCGATGAATTCATGGTGATTAATAATAATAATATAATGACGAATTGCTTTTGATTTGTTTCTTTCTGTTCTGCTTTTTTTATTACAATTGTTTCCTTTAGAATGGATTACGCAATGGCGCTTATCCAGCTCATTTGCAAAGTCTTTGGATCATAACGGCAATTTTATCCGCACTTCATCTTTCTGAAAAATCTCAGTTCGATACAGTCAGATTTATTCTTTCGCTTCTTCCCGGGTAAAGCATACATTTTTTTTTATTATTATTTTATTTTTGAGCCGAATTTTTCAATTTTTATCAAATACAAATGCAGCGATACCTTATCATGGCAGTTATTTGCATGCTTTTTGACGGCACTCTTGGTTTGGCTGGCAATTTGTTTCGTCATGCGAAATACATTGAAACTGTTGCTCATGTACAAAGGCTGGATGTATGAATCACGCGAAAAAGGCAGTAAAATTTCATTCACCACAAAACTATGGGCAGCAGCAACTCGACTATTTTCCGCTTGGAATACACCGGGCTTATACAGTTTCCAAGGATCATTACCAAATCTTCCATTACCTTCTATACACGATACACTATCGCGATACTTACTTTCCGTGCGTCCATTGTTAGATGATGAAAATTATAAGCGAATGGAGCAATTGGCCAAAGAATTTGAAGTGATAATCGCACCAAAATTGCAACGCTATTTAATTTTGAAAAGTTGGTGGGCACAAAATTTTGTCAGCGACTGGTGGGAAGAGTATGTTTACTTGCGTGGTCGCAGTCCATTGATGGTCAATAGCAATTTCTATGGCATCGATGCATTGTTTCTTGAAAATACGCGAAAACAATCGGCTCGCGCTGCAATGACTATCAATTTGTTACTACAATTCCGGCGATTGATCGAACGACAAGAACTACAGCCGGTAAGTGAACGAAAACAAAAACAAACAAAAAAATCAATTCCACATCGTATTTTGGCTAATATGAAAATATTGAATCTAGATTATGGCACAAGGACTGGTTCCACTATGTTCATGGCAATACGAACGAATATTTAATACGGTTCGTGTACCCGGCGTTGAAAGCGACAAAATCATTCATTATATGGATTCCAATCATATTGTTGTGATACATAAAGGACGCTATTTCAAAGTCATCATCTATCACAAAGGAAGACTATTGAAACCCAACGAAATTCAAATGTAAGCCATTTATAATCGTGATAAATTTACAATAGTAAAATATATAAAAATTGTAAAAAAACTAAAATTTAATTCACAGTCAAATGGAAGAAATTCTGAAGTCAGGCGAACAATCAACAACAAATGAAGATTTGCTTGCTTCGTTGACCGCATGGAATCGCACGAAATGGGCTCAGATTCGGAATTCAATGTTTAATAAAGGCATTAATCGTATTTCATTACATACCATTGAATCGGCTGCATTTATTGTCTCGCTCGACGACGAAGCGTATGAGACGGACATTTACAAAGATGCTCGCCTCGATATTTTTGGCAAAGCCATGTTGCATGGAAATGGACACAATCGATGGTTTGATAAGAGTTTTAACCTATGTATTGGTACGAATGGTCGAATCGGTTTCAATGCCGAGCATTCTTGGTAAGGGCATTTAGTTTATTAGTTATTTAAAAAAAATGTTTAAAATCGATTTTTTAAAATGTTTTTTATGTGGTATTTGTGATTTTTCTAACAAAAGGGGTGATGCAGCTGTTATGTCAAATGTTTGGGAATTCGTTGTGATGGAAGAAGTTCTTCAAAATGGATATGATGAGAATGGTGATTGTATTGGACAGCCAGAATTTGTACCACCATCACCAAAACGAATTTCATGGGATCTTAAAAATGCTGAATGTATATCGGCCATCAATGAAGCCAATTTCGATGCACAAATTTTAATAAACGATCTCCATTTACGTATTTATGCTCATGACCATTATGGAAAAGGTTTCATGAAAAAATGCCGAATTTCACCGGACGCATTCATTCAAATGGCATTACAATTGGCTTACTACAGAGATGCTGGCCGCTTTTCACTCACATACGAAGCGTCTATGACACGACTATTTCGTGAAGGGCGCACAGAAACGGTTCGACCATGTACAATTGAATCATCCATTTGGGTTAAAGCAATGCTCGATCAAAATACAACTGTAATTAAACCACGATCCATTTTTTAAAAATAATATAAGTCATTGCGAGTCATGAGAATGATAAAAAAAATAATTAAAATAATTTCAGAATGAAAAACGTATTGAACTGTTACGTGCAGCTTGTCAACGGCATCAGAGGGCCTATCAAGATGCGATGTGCGGCAAAGGAATCGATCGGCATTTGTTTTGTCTATATGTTGTGTCCAAGTACTTAGAAGTGGATTCGCCCTTTTTGAATGAGGTGCTCAGTGAACCATGGCGTTTGTCTACCAGCCAAACACCGCACGGCCAAACCAATAAAATGGACTTGAAAAAGTATCCAAATTGTATTAGTGCTGGAGGTAAGACTTATCAAAAATGTTGTGCACGTTTTGTGGTATACATGATTTGTTGCGTTATTTCAGGCGGATTTGGCCCTGTGGCGGACGATGGATATGGTGTGTCATATATTGTGGCCGGTGAAAATTTGCTTTTCTTCCATATATCATCGAAGAGAAGCTCACCTCTCACGGTAATTATTTTGGATATTTATTTTATGGTTTTTTTCTTTGGTTCGTGTTATTAAATGAAGTTTTATCACCACCCATTTTCTGTAGGATTCGGATAAATTTGCAAAACAAATCGAACAAGCCCTGCTTGATATCAAAAAACTATTTGAGGATTCAAACAAATGAAATCAAATCATTGAAGGATTTTATGTGGCCAACTAATGCCCCAATTTATTTTTATATGAACAATATTTAATCTTTTCCAACAACTGAAAACACGAACAAGAAAAAAACGTAATATTTTCAATATTTGAATTCACAATTGTACAACATTATTTAACAAAGATCATAGACATTTAAATAATATTGTAAACGAACCAAAAACCAAGCTAAACGATCATTATGACGCACACTGAAAAGAATTCCAATATTTCACAACAAAGTGTTCATACTTACAAAATACCGAGAATATTGTTATCTCTATTATGGTATATTGGCTCATAGAAGTTTAGGTTAATTTTCTTTTGAAACGAGTGTTATTATTTTTTTTGTTTCATAATTTAGTTAACATTCCTCAAATGCAAAAATGAAAAAAAAATCTGAAGAAAAATGAAAAAAATAATATCGAAAGGAAAGTTTGTTGACGAGACTATTGGATAATTTTTTTTAGGAATTCATTGATTATTATCAAGTATTAAAAACAGCACGAATCATTTGATGAACGCCCAAACTATTTAAATCTATGCATATTTTAAATTAAACAAAACCAAGTATTACAAAAATAACAAACTAAAGAAACAAACAAATGAATAGAAATAATATATGTATAAATTAAAAACATTAAAGTAACTTTAAATTGGAGCGATGAATAAATAAAAAGTTGCGTGTACCTAAGGAAAATTGTTTTTTTTTTATTAACAGAAAAGTAGACAAATTCTTATTGTTTGTGTGAAAAGAAAGAATTTTTAAGCTGTTATCTTTTGATCAGTGCAAAAATGTATCAATTGAATTGTTCTGCAAATTCAATAGTATACGACTCCAACGATTTTCCAAAATTTACAAATATGCAATTGAACGCATCATTGAGTTTCTCGATAGTTTGGACATTATGAGAGTCGCTGAAAAATTGGATGGTGAATTTTATGTGAAAATGCTGAGAAATTATATCAAAACTTTCATCATTCCAATCGAATACATTGTCAATTTGATGAATTTGATGATATATTTTCATGATCCGCTTCATTTCTTCAATTGTCATCCTATCTATACTTCTACAACTTTCATCTTTCAATTGACCAGCGGACAACATTAAAATATTGATTAAACTCTGCAAATACTCTCTGCAATGTATCATAAAACAGTTTAGAAAACCTATTTCCATCGAACCAAGTCCTGATTAAATTGATGAATTTACCGATTTGCTTTGGTGACAAAATCATCGCTTTGTTCAAAACTAAAAGTGGATTGTAGATCTATGCGCTTTGTTTGCATTGTATACCGTAAATCGTAGATTTGAGAATACGCAAGAATACGTCAAGCATCATTTGATTCATTCGCATGCCATATAAAACATAAGCATGCAACATGATTGTGAACAGTTTCGTGATATTTTCATTATTAATAAGACTTGGTGTACTATATAAAGATATTTTTTCATGTAAAACAACTGTAAATTTATCATAAGAAGATTTCTCTTACTAATTTGGTAAAACAATATCTTCATCACATTGAAATTTGGAATTCAAGCTGAAAATTGAATTTGGCTTCTCCAAAGCCACCTTTATATCATCAGTAAGTTGATTGAACGACAGTGACAGATAATTTATTGTGTTGCTGAAATTAATCAATATTTTCAATTGAAGGATTCTATTAATTTTATTTATGACATCGTCATACATACTTGAGTCGAGACGCAATATTAACAGAATGCATAAATTTCTCAAATACTCCTTTCATATTGTTAAACTGAATACGATCTCGAGTGAACGCCTTTTCTATAAGACTCATAATATGGATTAAATAAACTGAACTAGAATTTAAAAAGAAATTGCTCATTTTGAATTGGTTTTCCCTAACTCTAACGGGAATTTAATGTTACCGAACGGATTCATCCAAATGCCGTACCGTTGAGATACTCAGGAAAAGTTTAGCTTCAATGTTAAGATCCACATTTCCATTGCTTATATCAGCGGCAGTGGTATTGGCTGTTAGGCATTCAAGATAGCCACGAAACGCCGTTTCAGGTGAAATAATTCTGCTCACTTTTTTAAAGGTATCATCGGCTACGGACGACGTTTTTTGCGTGACTCCAATTCATAATAAGCATTATAAATGAATGCCACGTCATTCACACAAGAAGGATAACGTGTACTCCAGAAGAAAATCGAATAAAATTATGAGTTTTGTTAAAATATCTGAATGAATAAAAAGTAACTTACATTTCTTTACCACATTTTTTCTGTAAATATTTCAAAGATGATTCAACGCTTTTTATTACATCTGAATTATTGGGATTTTCCCCTTTTAGCCATTTTTCTATTAGTGCAACCCTTTCGCGGAGTTCAAAGCTAAAATCGAATAGTTTAATGAACTCGTCCACCACATCCAACATTGAGTGTGGCATAAAATGCAAAAATTTTCCAAAAAATAAAACAACTTCCAAAATGGTTCATATTGAGAGGACTTGAAGCAATTACTGATTAACTTATATCTTTTATAAGTGCGTTAAGTAAACTTCCAATGACATTTTATGACAACAGTTTCTATTTTGCACGACAGTATATAAACAATTGAAGTTGATCGAATATTATCGATTTTTTTTCATTGTTTTCAAATACTCGGCAAAACACACTTTTCTGCTGGTGACGTAAATATTACAGAATTTATAAACAATTCGATCTCTGTAAATTCATTTTGAGTTTTAAAAAAAATACAAAACACCTCTCTGCCCTGATGAAATTGCCAGCAAACAAATTTGTAATTTTAGTACATTCAAACGTTGAAAAATGTAACGTTTTCGCCCATTCTGGTGGTCATTTTCGTGTCAAATGGAACGGAGATTATATGCATAGTTCCCACGAATTCCAAAGGAATGGATCCACTTGTGTCTTTCACATCCAATAATATTTCATTTGACAACATAATTTGAACATAACCCAATACATTAAGTTTTAAGTTGAAAATCTAAATCTTACGCTCAAATAAAAAAATAAACAATTTATGCGGAAAGAGATTTGCATAATTTAATTTAAAACTCTGCAGAAGAACTCTTTCATATGTCATTTATTGCATTTAAATTTCTTTATTTGTGGAATTAGTTTTTTCAATTTTCGAGATGCAACTAACATCTTTCTGACAATTTTCGATTGGTGCGGTGTATATGTGTGAAACCAAATCCAACGATATTCATTCATATGTATTAAAAATGTGCTCGCATCGTATTGCTCGCACAGTATTGTTAGTAAAGGGTCTTTCATTAGGAGTGTCGTAGTTTGCTAATAGGGTTATTCGTGACTCACGCGACGTGAGTTCTGACAATATGTGTTTTTGACATCTACAATGTCTACCATTTAATC